TCTCTCTCTAATTGCCATTCACTCTTATAAATTTATAGTTAAGTATTTCAAACATTACATACAGTTATAAAGATAATATATAAAAATATATGTGCATATATATACATATACCACTATTTAATATATTATCTCTCTATAAATACCCTATTTATATTTAATATATTTTCTCTCTTCTCTATAACAACTCTTTCTCTCTCTAATTGCTCCTTACTCATATAAATCTATAATTAAATATTTCATATATTACATACAAATATAAAAGATTATATATATAAATATATGTGCATGTATATACATATACCCTTATTTCATATATTCCATGGAATTTAAATGGGCATTTGCTTGTCTTGAGTGGCAATCTAGGTTTGTAAAAGAAATCAAGATTTGTAGAAGATTTAAAAATGGTGTGGTTTTGAGTTTGTCCTTTTAGGTAATTTTGTCTTCTAGGTTTTTTTTATTATTTTTGTTATAAGGAGAGTGGAAGGTATTTTGGTCTTTTATTCTTCCCATTATTATTTAATAGACGAAAAGTCTTTATTTGCGGAGTTTACATACTATAAGAGTGAGATTTGAATGCAATAAGTGTTATTTGCACATTTTTCAAACTAAATGGGTGTTTTTTTGCACTTCACCCCAAAATTTAACAATGCTAGACACATGCTAAAGAAAAAGCATGTAGTTGCACTCACAACTCTGAATTTTACTTTTTAAATTTGTTTTTTTTTTTTTAATGTTTTGCATTAATTAAATGTATAGTAATGCATGTAACGAAAAATATAAGTTCAAATCCTTTCAAGAAAAAAAAAAAAATAATATAATATTTTAGCTGAATTCACACAATTGGCAAAAATTCAAAAAGCAATCCCCCTCAGTTTGTTAATGGTAGTTTTTTGGCAAAATAATAATAATAATAATAATAAAATAGTAAAGGGGGGTTTATTGTAAAACAATGAAAGTTTAGTGTTAAATGTAGTTTATCCTTCTTCTTATTTATTTTTTTCAAGTTCAAGACTATCTCAACTATTGCTTGTTGTTAATTATGTCTTTTTTAAATGACATGCAATATTACTTTTAAACAAGTATTTGATTCTTGGGTAAATTGCACTCAAACCCCCAGGTTTGGGTTAAAGATAAGTAAGTACAACTTAAGTCACATAAAGCGAGAGTGAGAGCGAATTCGAGAGCAGGAACGTGAGAGCGGCAAAATTAACTTATAAATAGTGAGACTTTAAGCGATAGCGGGAGCGCGTTCAGAACGTGAGAGCGACACCTGTTGAGAAAGATTGTGTGACTTAGGGTACTTAGACATTTTTTGAATAATGACATCCCCAAGTTTGGTAAATTGAACAATGACACTCCAAACAAAGTAAAAGTACCTTATTACCCTTTGACTTATGAATTGACTTATTTGAATTATGAATTTACCATTTTAACCTTCTCAAATCATTTTAATTTTATCCATTAAAATTCTTTTGAACAAGTTACATCCCACAATTTACAATATATCAAATTAATTACAAATTATAGTTTGTCAATAAAAGCACCATGTTCGCAAAATGAACAAGTTATATTACTCTTCAAAGAGAAATAAACAATTGCATTGGTTAGGTACAAAATTTATTAATTTATAGAATTATTAAATATTAAATTTTATCAACCTCTAATTAGAAATAAAAATTTTGACATTGAGAAGTAATAGAGAATATAACAACATCATCATTTTGGCATAACTTTCAATCCACATATGTTTAATAACAAAAATCAAATCTATAACAAACCCAAGAACCATATATAAAAAAAAAATAGATAATTAATATTTTTGTGAATACATAGTAATACTTGTAACATTATATAATATGTACTAATTATAATAATACTATAAGTTTGTTCTAAAGTTTAAGTGTATGAGTTTCTTGCCAAGATAAATTAATTAAAAAATAAAAAACCATCTACAATCATGTTGTCCAAAGTATTCAGTTATTACCTTAAAAAAAAAAAAAAAAAAAAAAAAAAAAAAAAAAACCCAACAACAACAACAACAACTTTAATAATTGGTCAATTATTATGGGTAGTCAAGGACTTATGAGAGTTTATTGGCAAATAAAGATCACATAATCCTGAATAATCAAAAGAGTGTGGATTTGTCGTTTGCCCAAGGTCAATGATCATAATTGTCAAAATAAAGTTGCAATGAAGGTTAATTTTGTCCATTAAATTATTTTGAGAAGGTTAAAATGGTAATTTCATAATTCAAATAAGTCAATTCATAAGTCCAAGGACAGTAAGGTACTTTTACTTTGATTTGTTCAATTTACATAACTTGGAATGTGTTGTTATTCAAAAAGTGCTTAAATTGTACCTATATTTCTTTAATCCAAACTTTGGGGATGTAAATGCAATTTACCATTAATTCTTTGATATTTTCTATAAGGCCCAACAAAAATGCAATTTACTCCATGTAGGTCCATGCCCTTTGTTAAAGAAAGTAGTCAAATATATTTCTCTATGCGCTTGCTTTTGGGTTTTGGGGAGTACATTTTGGTAATTGTTGACCAGTAATATAGTAGTGAGGCCTTGAAAAATGCAAAATAAAATCCATGCCAAGAAGGAAAAAAAAGAAGGAAAAAAAGTGACTTACAAAAAAAATAAATGGGAGTACTAAAGATGACCTTTTAATTCTTTAACCTCATCTCAAGTCATTAGATTTTGTTTTAACTAGAAAACTCTTAAGATGGTTATGCTATGTGTTTTTTCTATTTCGTCAATACTAAAATAATCGTTTTGTTATATAAGTGTTTTTGATAGAAATTGGAATCATGTTCGATAGAAATTTGCTTTAATTTTTTCGTTATAATCCCAAAACACATAATATCACTAATTTGGTAATATGAGTTTTGGCCAAAAAAAACCTAAGATGTTATAGATCATTCTAAATTAATATAAGTAGTTTTAAACATTATATGAGCCCAAATTTAAAGACTAATATTAAAAAAAAAAAACCTGATATGTTATAAATTATTCCAAATATGTCCATGTTTAGACATACAAAGAAATTTATTATAAATTAATTGTTATACGAAGAAAAGGTTTTTTTTTTAATTATTTTACGAAGAAAGGGTTTTTAAAAAAAAAAAAATGTTTCTTACAAGCATTACAGTTTAGTACAGTTACATTGATAAAATTTCACTTGAGAGCATATATTTAATATAGGAAATCATGTATAAATATATTTACCATGGGTCAAATTTACACTCAGTTTACTCCGTCCGACACCATGAATTTACGTGGTCATACTGGTTTAATGGCCTTTTATAGTAGTGGTCCTAAAATTAAAGTTTTTATGGATAAAAATTACAAATATATTTTTGTAAGAACCATTTATAACAGTGTCTAACCACGACTTATGGCCAGTTGTACATCTTCTCTCACACCAATCTATTTCGACCAGGTACTTTGTTCAAAAAATAGCACTTACAAATTTTTCTTTAGACCAAAATATCTTACTTCGGAATTCCTTTTTATTTAAGTTCTAAATTACTCAACTTTTCACTTATAGCCTTGCCAATTAGATTTAAAAATTTATCTTTACGATCATCAGTAATTTTAAAATTATTATTCTCTATTTGATAGATGCAAAACATTTGGACGCAGTTTAACGATCACTGGTTTAGTGTTGAACAGAAATTGATCGGCACCTAACAATGTTCGAAATTGAAGTTGATCTTGAATTATCATGAAACTTCAAACGAAAATGTGTTAATTTCATCTCTTATAATCCAATTATAATCCAACACTGAGGGGTCATGACCGACTCAGAAATTATGTGAGGAGGTGACCTTTAACAACAAGATAAAAAATGTTATGGGGAATATTGGTGTTTTTCTATAATTTTAGTGGGGCCATTTCAAAAAACATAATACTAATAATAATAATAATAATTTGATATATGGAATAAAAACAATACACTATATATGTAATAAATAAATAATAAATAATCAGCAGGGACAATTGCCCCCACTAATATTTGAAGGGTAAATTTGTGAGTGGGTGGTTGGACCTTATTGTCATTGTTACCTTTTTCATTCAATAGTTTTCCTTTCAAAGTTCATGGTCCTTGCTAAGGTTACTTGTGGGAAAAAAAGGAACACACATGCTCTTAAGTGCCCTACAATGAACTTGTGGGAAAAAAAGGAACACACATGCTCTTAAGTGCCCTACAATGAATTTAACGTTTCATTTTATTATTATTATTATTATTATTATTTTATTTTATTTTTTAAATGAATGGATTTGAAATAAAGAAATTTGAGTTTAAACAAAGACTGTTGATTGAAGTTAGATCATGAAACTGAAAGAGAAATGAAGGAGAAATTATATTAGAGGTACAATGTAGGAAGCATGGGTATAGATACGGGGTACGGATATGATATTAAATTCAAGGAAATATTAGATTAGAGGTACAATTTAAGCACTGATATAGATAAGTGATACATATATGACTCGATATGAGTGCAGCAATACAAAAAATCTTAAATAAACAGAATACTGGTAAGAGTATGATACGATAATAAAACATAAAATATTATATTTTTAAAAAAATATAAAAGATTAATTTTTATCAACTTTTTATAATATTATGAATATAAATGCAATCACTAATAGGAGTTGGTTTCACAAAACATAAAACAAGTATTATTTTGAATTTTTCTTAACAATTATATTATTATTAAAAAGTTTACAATTTCACTTCAAAACTTATTTAAAATGTATTTTAAAGTATTTAAAAACTATCGAATACGTAATCAAAGTATTTGAGAAATATTGGATACGTGTTATAATTTTAAAATTATGGATATCAGACATGTATATCTGGAGTGTGTCGATTTCCACACAATAAACAAATTTTATTACAATCCAGTTTAAACAAATTTTTTGTTACCTATTCTTTTACCATCTAGGGACACTAGTTGAACCACATGGGTAGAATCTGGGAGTGACTATTTTGTGTATACTATAATACCAACATTTTAGGTCCACTTTCAGTCTTCCAGTTCTGTCATCCACATACTTGTCACAATTGAAACTATTTTTACAACAGAGCTTCTTGGTTTTGGACAAACAAAATTCCGGCTACTACTACTACTACAACCATTGCATCAGACGACAAGAAAACAAACACAAAATTAACAACAAAAGTACACAAGGGATCCTTTGCCTCTTAATGCTAGGATGCTGCTCCACAAACATAGAACCTTCTTCTTCGTTTTCTGTGTGTTATATATAGCATTCTATAATGGGGCTATCCGTCCATCCTCACCAACCTTGCTGAGCAACTAAAATTCGTTGACAAAATGATGCCATTAACCTACAAAATTGAAATATTCAAATACACGGTTGACAATAGAGGGAGATAGGTAAAGAAGATGCGAGAGGCAAAAGAATGACAAAATTCAATAGGGAAAGCAAATTTTCTTCAATTTGCCTTTTTCTTTTTCGCATATGTACGTTATTCTACATAATTTTCCTTGAAATTTTCATTGGTATAGTTTAATTATGAGTGCACAACCCTATGATAAATGCAATCAAAGAGAAAGAAGACTAACACATTAATTAGTGAAAAACAGGATCATGCTTTAAATCTGTTTATTTTCAGCATAATAGATTTGTGAAAACTCATGGTAGTTTTTTTTTTTTTTTTTGAGTGGGGTGGTGGATTCCACCACATGCTCGTCAAAATTCCGACTAGCTAGAAATTATTATTCTTCCACTCACCTTGCTGGGACGTCTCAACTTGCTCCTCCATTACTAGATGGATACCCCATTTCTTGACGTCCACTTTCACTTCTTTGTTGTTACTTTCTTCGACGCATTCCAGCTCAATTGATGGATTCTTGTTCAACAAATTTCTAATTGGTCGGATGGCCTTTTCATACTCATCGTAATATTCCGTTACATGAGTAAGAATGGCGTTATGTAACCCGATATCCTTATCCTGGTAAAGCCACCGGCAGAATTCATGGCCGTTGATTTTGATCACAACTTCAGCTTCTTCTTGGATGATTCCATGTAATTTGAAAGCAACACAAAAAACAAATTCTTTGACGTTATTGTAAGAATGTAAATGATGATCATCCACCCCTAAACACACTGAAGAGCCTTCCCCCTCAATCTTATGGCTGAACCATTGTGGAATCTCACTTCCTGGAAAAAGGATTTGACCGATTTCCTGTCCCATAGAAATAGATATTATGAAGCTGAGTTTTCCATTCAAATACATTCATATAGAGAGAGAGAGAGAGAGCAAACCTGGAGATGACTTTGTGAATATATATTTGGCATGTTGTTGCTTTGATTCATATCCAATTTGTGGCACCCAGTGAATCTGAATCCCCGATTGTCTGGACTGTCTACACATGGTGGAAACCAATACCATTCCAATGATTCGCAGCCATTTGCATTCACCCAAAATACAGATGGCGGAAGTGATGTCAGTGTTCGGAGGCGGGTGCAACGCTCCAAATAAAGGCGGTTCAGCTTGGTGAGTTGAATGAAGCTTGCTGGTATGCTTGTGAATTTGTTGTCACTTAGATCTAATTCTTCCAACGAGGATAGGTGGCCAAAATTGTTGGGTAGGGATTCTTCTGATAAATTGCAGTTTTTGAGCTCTAAATGAGTTACAGTGCACAAATGGGAAAGCAGTTCCAGTTGCAAATAAGTTGAATTGGGAGTTCTCCTTTCCAAGAATGAATTTAGCATCAATGAACTTGACATCTTGGGAGATGGACGTCCTTGAAAATCATCTAGAATAAGGAAAATAAGGTTACTCAAGTGTTGGAAGGACGATGGTAACTGTTTTATACCAGTTCCTTGCATCTCAATATGTCTTAAAACCTTCATTCTAGAAAACATGTTGGTGGGAAGACTTTTAAGCTTTTTGCACCTCCCTAGCAGTAAAGTCTGAAGCCCTCCAAGATTTTCAATTGATGCGGGTAAATCTTTTATTGCAGTCATGTGTAAATCAAGTTCTTTTAAAACATCCATATCCCCACGAATCTCTGGAAACGTCTCAAGTTTTGAGCATTTTGAAAAAACAAGATATTCGAGATTTTTCAAGTGAATGCTTCTTGGGAGACTCCTTAGTTTTTTACATTCAGAAAGATTCACACTTACAAGCCTCTCATGAACTCCGCTGGAAAGATGAACCTCAACTAGATCTGCACATCCTTGTAGATTTAAATCCTCGAGACATGGAAGACTTGATAAATCAGGAGTTTTGTCCAAATATGGACAATTTCTGAAATGGAGGAGTTTTAATTTCCCTAGAAACTGCTAAATAAATAAGCAATGCAAAAAAACATATTAGTTTCAATAAACCCAACAATGCTATTTATAGGTAAAAAAATTGTGAAATAAACTATGATGATACCTTGATGTGAGTCGAAATTTGTTTGATTTGGCTATTACGAAGTTGAAGATGAACAAGATTTTGTGGATGGAAACTGGATGGCAAATATCTTTCTGGGTAACCATCCCAATCTAGATAACATAATTCATTCGAAAGATATGAAAGGCGTCCACAAGGCCGTATGCCGCGGAGTTTGAGCAGTTTAAGTCTCTTCATCTTCGCAAAGATATCAACATTTACACGTAACTCCTCTAATCGAAGGCCATAGGGCAGGTTTAGCATAATGCCTTTAATTGTTTCTGTCACCTAATTTGCACGAAAATGGTTTAAGTTACCACATGGTATTAAAACCTAAATAAGAGTTATTCAAGTTTGTAGCGGTTTATATGAAAAAAGAAAAAAGAAAAAAGAAAAGCAAAGCTTATCTTTTTTGAACTACTTTCATGTACAAAGAAACTTATATGTAGTTTGAACATACCGTATTCTCTTTGAGTACTTTATAGACATCTTCGTGAAACCATAACCTACTGCGTTTGCCCGGTTCATCAGGTGACTCTTGACGAACTATTTCTTTACCCATTTCTTGTATCAAATCATGCATATGCAACTTCTTGTCTGAGATAGTTATCAAGGATCGTTCAATAAGAATTGGAATTCTTGGGTAAAACCCGCTACTGCCCAATATATCCATCACATAATCTTTATCATACCCTTTGAAGAAACAAGCAATATCGAGGAATAAATCCTTCTCGGTATTATTAAGGCGATCAAAACTTATCTTAAGAACGTCATGAATCTCTCTATTAGGAATTCTTTTCAAATTATCCAGCTCATGTTCCCACTCTTTTTTACTTCTTCCAAATAAAAAGGAGCCCAAAACTTGAAGAGCTAATGGAAGGCCTTTGGCATAATTTATCAAATAGCGTGAGAGTTCCAAGTAATCTTCTACAGGATGGTTCTTCATGAAGGCATGCCAACTAAAAAGTTCAAGAGCTTCATCATCATTCAACAACTCAGCTTTGTATATTTCATGATCAATTTTATGCTCTACCAATAAACGTTCGTCTCTAGTTGTTATGATAATCGTACTTCCAAAACCAAACCAGTCATTTCCTCCAACTAAACTTTCTAATTGCTTCAAGTGATCCACATCATCAAGAACTACAAGAACCTTCTTGTAACAAAGTCTTTTCTTCATCACACAAATTCCATAATCAATGTTATATATCTTTGAATCTTCTTCCATCAGAATGTCATTCAAGAGTTGTTTTTGGAGGCAAACTAGACCACGTTGTTCTGAAACTTCTTTCACGTCGCCAAGGAAACAACAACTTTCAAATTGATCAAATATTCGATTGTAAACTGCTTTAGCAATCGTTGTCTTTCCTATTCCGCCGGTTCCACAAATTCCCACAATGTGCACATTCTTTGACCTATTGTCCAACAAACTGATTACTTTATTCACACGGGAAACTATCCCCACTTCGTACTTGGCAACACTTATTGGTGTAGACCCCAATTTTTTAAAAATCTCTTGAACAATTTCTTGGATAAACTTCGCCTCATACCTGTCAAGTACAAAGGACATTAATTAAGATACTTAGTATGAAATTGTATAAAAGGATAAATAAAAATTGAAACAACTATGATGGAACTTTGTTACTTCAACCTTAAGTTAATTTTGTTTCAATTCAAATTTCAATGGACGTATTCCGTGCTGCCAAATGCATCATAAGTGACAGGAGAAACAAATTCATAAAACAAAATACTATTATAAAACATTTAATGAACTTCTAAAATACCGTAAGAACTCATAATATGTAAAGAAAGTATCCAATTTTAATTAGATTTGCTTCTAGTTTGACACAAACATTGTGGTGTTTTTTCACCCTATAATAAATTCCTTTTGATAACATAATTTTTTTAAATAATACATTCCTTTTGCTACATGATCTTTGCTTTTACGCTTAATTTGCTTACCTAATTGATCACTCCATGCGTCTTTTAGCTGAGCTTTTGCACATATTTCATTTTTCAGCGTTGTAATCAATTTGAAAAGTGGCAGACATTTAAAATAAATAAATAAATAAATAAAAAAGCATTTTCATTCAAAATCTCAGGCACATTGAATAAGCCTTTGTTGAGAAATATTTCATGGGTATATAAGTGAAAAAAGCAAATTAACAAGGGTATAGGCCGTCCTTGTCAACCTCAAAAAATAGGATCCATTATTGGGTTGATCTCAACACTTAACAATGCATCGTGTGCATTAGAGAGGATGCTATAGTTTTTTTTTTTTTTCAATAACCGGGTTTTCAGAGCTTTGTCACGACTAACCACAGGACCCATACAGGGCAACCCTATAATATTTATGTTTTTCACCATTTTTCATTTTCTGGAATTTTCTGAATTTTTCGAGTGTGTTTTAGTCTTTTCTCGACTGCGTACCGGACACTGTGGGGTGTGCTAGGTATGTCCGAGAGTTGGTTGAGGCATTTCTTTGAGTTCAGGACTCTTGAAAATACAATGGTTGCCAATTCGGCATTTTTCTGTTTTTTGGGCCAGATGGTCCCGGGTGGGAACCGCTACCGGAATTGTTGTGCACAGGGGTGGTGTCACGGATCCATTGCATATTATGTGTATTTATTTTATGTATAAATTAGTTGGTTAGATGTATTTGTGGTGGTGATTGTTTGATGTGTGTAGATATATATATATATGTTTTGTGGTGAAAAATAAAGTAACAAGAAAAGATTTTTTTAAAAAATATATATATAAAGTGGGACCCACCATTATTGATTTTATGGCCAAAAAGCCATCTTTTTGGCCTTATTTTCTCCTCCTCTCCCAGCATGCTCTCTCTCCCACACTTTACTTTTCTTTTTTCTTTCTTTTTTTCTTCACAACTTCAATCTTTGATTTCTCTCCAACCATTTGGAAATTTTTAGTGCCGTTTGCGGCAAATTGAATAGCTCGTCATGATCTTCGATTTGATCGGAGCCATGCCCCATTTGGTGCACCTTAGAATTTCGAAATTACGGCTAGGAATTGGGCAATTTTTGGGGCTTTTCTCTCATTTGAGGTAGGGGTTCTAATTCTCATTTTCTTGGGCTCTCTGTGAATTATTCTTTTTAATTGTGGTTAGTATGCTTGATTTGTAGAAATTTCATGCTATATTATGTTATATATGTTGTGCCAAAGTTGTGACTATGTGTTACTTGGTGTATATGATGATGAAACATGTTTAATTGTGATTAATTCAAGTACTTTGTGCCTTTAGTGCTGAATTTTGTGATTAGCAAGCATGAGATATATTTTTAGAATTTTTCTTTTAATGTAAAGCATGTATATTGTTGAATGTTAACGTGATGAGTATGAATTTCTCCATTTACACGGCATTGAAATATATACGAGACATTCATGCATGGCATTGGGCAAAGAATAGGGAAAGTTGATTTGAAATGAATAAAAGAAAGGGATTTTTTTTTTGGGAAAAAGATTTGATAAAAGGATTTTGTGAAAACCCGGACGCCAAGGGGGTACCGACCGTGGCATTAATGTGACCTAGAGGGAACTAGGGAAACCCCCTAGTATGGTTGAGCTATTTCGGCCCAAATGACGCCGCGGGATTACTAAGGGTCAGGAACAATGGCCAATCCTTCTCTCGTGTCGCCAAAGGGTCACCGAGGGATGGGTTACGTTAACGGTTTGAAAAGTGAAGAAATGGATGAGATTTTGAAAATGGGGAGCGACATAGCACGGCATTGCATTTCATGACACGACATTAATTGTTTTTAGCCTTGAAATTGTATTGTATTCTTCCTCGGTATAGCATGATCCCGTTCCCTTTATTTTTATTCATTGTTTGGATTCACAGGGTCACAAGAGGTGTGTCTTAGGCACCACCTACTAAGCAATTTGCTCACCCCTTTATATTAACATTTTTCAGGACACGGATGCGAAATGGCGGACAACGATTCACCACATGCTTAGACCGGATTTGAGGCCTTTGTTTTGTAGTCTTTTGTATATGGAGCCATACTCCTTTGTATAGAATCATGTCATTTTGTATAGCCTTAGTGTATTTTGGATGGTTGTGTAACTAAGGAACTTGTGACTATCACCATATCCATGGATTTTAACTTGATGTATCCAAAGCTTAATCTTTGTAAATGATTTTGGAATAATGTAAGGATTTGTAACTCTAGGTTTTGGATGAATTATAATTGATGGGATGCTACATACATTGTTTTTGCATTGTGTTGGGACAGGTTTAGACTTGGATTAAGGTCACAATGGGACCAATGGGGTACCTAAGTGTGCAAATGTTTAACCTTAAGCTTTACAGGGCATTTTTTTAGTTTCTGGATTTAGGGAACTGGTACCTCATCCGGGACAGGTTCAAGGGGTACTTGATTCACGTTTTGGGCATTCTGCCTATGTAGAACCGGTATCAAGATTTGGGAACTGGTTCCAGCCCTCCAGTGTATATTTTTACCTTGACAGTGTATCAGCTTTGACAGCCTGACTTCGGACGATCATAACTTCTTCGTTCTAAACCCAAATAGGGTCATTGTTGAGTCTATTTTCAAGGATTTTAAATTAGCTTTCGAATAAGACCAACCTCATTCCCAAATTCCATTCATGTTGAGAGTTATGTTCGTTTTAGTGGAGCAGTATCGGGATTTCCCTTGAACCGGGTAAGGGTACTTTTGAGAAATCTTATCCAATGACCGTAGAACTTCACCGAGCATTATTGAATGACTAGAACGATTGTTTTAAACCTCATTTGATTAGTTTAAGGATGGATTACCCTTTCACATTGTAAAATGACCATTTTTCCCCTAGTGTGTCCTCGGGTTTGGTTAAGGACCCGGTTAGCAATCCGGACCCCCGGTTTGGGTCGTTACAAACTTGGTACCAGAGCTTTAGGTTCAAAAACCTAAGGACGACGGGTAGGGTTGGCCTAAGTAGGACTTGAGTTGATTTAGATGCACTGCATGTTAAAGTGTTTATCGTTTTGAGAAGCATGTTTACTTGTTACTTGCTTACGTGTTTACAATTTTGAAGGCATGTTATTTGCTAAGTGCTTACGTGTTTAAATATTAAAATTTGTGTTACATGGCCATGCATGTGAAGTAGTTATATGATCCAACTTTGAAGATGAATTGGGAATGTATTTAAAAACATGTTATACGTGATAAGATGGCAAGTTATGAGCACGAATTATGCAAGTGTGTAGTATATGAAATGATGATGAGGATGGAAGGGATATTTATTTCACGTAATAATTTAATGGACTTATTGTTTAAACTTTTGTGATAGAACACGGTCGTGTCAAGGGTTATATTTCAGTTAATGTGTATATATACATATATAAGTATGTTTTGTCTATATACCTATATTCTTATGTGTATATGTGGTCAAGCATGGGATGGTTGTGTGAGTTTTGACCTGAGTAGGCGGGGAGATCAGTTGCTCCAGGGTTGTTGGGTGTCAGTTCTTATTGAACAAATGGCTTGGTCTTTTAGATAGTGGATTGAGCTATTTGGTATACAGTCATTTTTATTTTCTTGTTGCATTTGTGCGGTGCTTAGAGTACAACTTTAGAATGGGTTTGAATTTCATATCATGGTAACTGTGTTGTGTGTGAGTTTCATGCATTGGTGTAGGGGTTTCTTGTCACCGTGGGGGTCAAGTGTGTGAGTAAGGGTTTTGTGAGAAACGTATGACTTTAGGAGGCTAGTGTTTGTGACTTGGGTCACAGTTTGGTGCAGAGGTTCTTTTTGAACCAGTTGTGGTAGGTGTGACAGAAGTTGTTTGAGTCACGAATGTAGTATATGGGTTGTAAATGTGTATTACAGGTGTTCTAGTACGGTATAGGAAGCATGTTGGTTATGGTTAGTCGAGAGGTGATTCCCATTCCGGGAAACTACGGGAGTGCGTCACGGGTAATTGACTCTCGGTGAGTTGATTGCATGGTTCAGTTTATGAGCGGGTTTTTGGGTTGGCATGGTTATTGAAAGGGTCTTGAGGTGGTGTATAGTGGTCAATTGTAGCTGTGTAGTGCAGGATTGCATGATAAGGTAGATGATATGTGGTCAACGGTATGCTTAGTCGTTTACGGATGGAAGGATAGATGATAGGTATTGTGTATCATGAGTTGTGTTTTGGAAATTAGAAGTTATGGGCTAGAGTTGTATTCCTGGTATGTTTAGAGTATCAAGTGATTGTGCTGGGTGTTTGAGGATTCAAGTGATAGATTGTTGATTTAAAATGATTGACTACATCGTTGATGGTTTTGAGGTGACAGTTGGGTGTTGAGCATTCTGGTTTTTGTGCTCATTTTTGTTTTGAGGATTTGTCAGCATGGCATTATCGTATGGAGGTTATTTTCTAATGGTAAATAGTGGTCGTTGTGGGGAGTAAAGAGAGTGGTGTTTGTTCTATTGTTATGATGGTGTTATCTTAAGGATGTTGGAAGAAGAATTGCTCGGTAGTGGCTTGATGATCTGGTGGGATTATAGGTTTGAACTGTTGATTTGGATAAGTGGCAATGAAGGTGTTA